AGTCACCTTCGGCAACAGAAAGCGCATGAAAAACAGAGGACTGGTCCGAGTTAAGTTTTTCTTCTATAGCCTTGAAAAGATTGCGCAGCTAAACACAAACCGCAGGCAGAACTGGACACCAGAACAGCTCGAAAAACTAATTATTTTTCTACTGAACGCAAACTAACATGCGACCTCTGCCCTGCACTCTTATTTTGCTTTTCTCGATAAGGAACGCCTTTCCGCGAGAGCCATCCTTTTTTGCAGTCTCACGCGGAAGCAATCAGACCCGTCGATCCAGAGGGCGTTTGTGCCCTCTTGTGGCTACACACGTTACTAACGGCCTCTTCTGAATGCTTTTACGCGATAAACAGTAGTGCGATTGATGTGGCCCAGAGTTAGAAAAATAATCTTTCTTCGGCTGCTCGTTTCGTTTTGTTTTGTTTACGATGGGCGGATTTCGCACACATTGTACTAATGGAACACAGGAGCTGCTACTGGAACTCCAGCTGCGGCTTATGTAGAGTAAATTAACTGTTCTTGCCGTTATAATTTCTTAGATGCTACAGAAGACACTACTGTTAAACGTAAAGCAGAAAACACGTCCCCGAAGCCCTGTCACACTAAATAAAAGCGTTATGAAACAAAGAGAAGTGTACGTGACACAATACCAAGCACAAAACGGAGTAGAACCAGCACTGCAGTATTTTGAGGGTCTTGTCTATTTGAAATTCGGATTGAAAAGTGTTTTCTACACAGTGTGGAGTGCACAATTATGTACTAATAGAAAACGTTAGGTGCCCAGACTCAACCAGAGCCAGTCCCTCAAATATGCCAATCTCTGTTGAGGAACTCTTAGATACCCTGAGAGCCTCAGAATCTACCCAACTGCCTCAAATAGTCTCAAGCACTCCTAGAAACCTCTCAAATCTACCTGCGACCCACAAATAGCACTATACCCTAAAATACTCAGTCATCCTAAGAACCCCCCCACCCCCCGAAAAAACCAAGATGGTGCCAGACACCCTCTTAAACACTCAGACACGCGCAAACACCCCAGAAAATAGCCATGGAAACCCCCAGAGCCCCACCCCAGTCTGCGCAGCTTATGTGTATTAAGGCCACACTCAATGAACCAGTTCTGTTAGAGGAATTGCGACCTTAATGGTGAAAAAAAACATTTTCATTTCTTTTTAATAATTATCAGATATCCTTCATAACCTTGGTTGTGTGAGAGAGAGTGAAGAACAGTTTTAAACTTTACACACATTTAAATATTATACTTATAGTTTTACACTCTGAGTCTTTTGAATGAGGAGTGTATGGCGTACATACCAACAAACATGAAAGCAACATAAAAAAAACGTAATAAAACTTAAATAAGTAAAATACTCCATAAAGTTACGCTTAAAACTGTACTGAGAACACATAAGGACTGCTAATACAGTATAGAGTAATATTACTTAATTGATCTATCGATGTAGTCTGCTTGTGTATTTCAACGTTTCTCTTCTTAGGGTGCTTTGCATTCTGAGGTCATTAGATCTTAAAAGTGCCATTTTTATATGCTCCGGAGTGTTCCATCCGCGTTTAGATAAATCGGGGAAATGTCAAGTAAGGCAGTGTCACGGATCAAGTGACCCCTACATGAAGGAACTACATGTGCTCAATAGACAACTACGCCTATCACACGGGGTTCTAGAACCCTTCGTCCATTTCCTCTGCTTCTCCTGGAATCACTGGCGGACATACAGACCAGCAGGAGACACTGGTATTGATGAGGTGCCCCTTTTATCATCTAGTGATCACAACAGTTAACCATCTACCCAACACCCGGGGCACATTATCCAAAACCAACTCACATCAGACCAGCCACAAGCTCACCACTGGACCCCACTTCCCAATGTCCCAAAAGTCTGCGGCCCAGCAGTTCTGTCCTCTGTGGTTCCATTGGTGGCTCCTGGGCATCGTCTCCAGCTCTGGCCGTTCAGAACAATATGGTTCCCTCATGCTTGGTTTCTCTCAGTCTAATGTCAGGAAGGGGAAGACAATGCTAGTCTTCCTCAGCTGCCACCCATTCCGAGTCACCTCCTAGGTCCTGCAAACCCTGCTTCCTCCAGTCTCTTCACTTTAATACAGCCTCCTGACTCTTCCCCATCGGGATGGGAACGTCTCTCTCATGCTTTGCATGGGCGGA